GTGTATAGTGATGTACTTAACCCACAAAATTAATTTGAGCTTGGAAAACTGTTAGCTTCCTAAGCAACTTTTATGTAGAATCAGTTATTTTCAGTGCTTGAGAGCCAGAAGCATGCCATCAGTGTGTCTGTCTTTTGCCAAGAACAGTAATTCTGGAGCCCCCCCCCTTTTTTTTTTTTTTTTTTTTTAAGATTTCACCAAACAAGTTGCACATGGGATATTCTGATAGCAGCAGTTGTCAGTATTTTGCAGGGCACCTTGTCCTGTCATATGGCAGGTGTGCATTCAAATCATATTGGAGGAAAGCTTCCCAGGAGATAGAGCAGCAGAGGATGACTATTGCTGCCTAGAAAATAAACTGAGACTAGGTGGCCAGATGGTTCCCATGGTAGAAGCATGTACTCAGCTAGAAAGCTTGTTAGACCTCTGAGTGATTCTGGATTACTAAGGAATGTATGGGTTTGGTGGTACTTTTCTTTGAGGAGTAAGGTGGTAGAAAGCAATTTCATTAAGTATACGATGTCTTTTCATTATATTTCATCTCAATAGGGTAATGAATGGAAAAAGTTTGTTTTATAAATTATTCCAAATAAATTATGTCCAAAGCACATCCTGAGCATGTAATAAGAAAGCTAAACACATGAAATACTCCCTAGATTTGCTTAAGAACTGAATGTGCTGCCATCTGGTAGTTGTACTCTGTCCTCTTGGCAGCATTTAATTGACTTCAGTTTTCTTATGCAGCACTGTCTGTCTTTTGTCTTAAACTTTATATTCATTTTGCATTGTATTTATGCTTTTAATGAAAAAAAAATTATCTGTTGTGACAAACTAATACTTTTATGTGAATAAAAGTGAGAAAGTGGCTCTTCAAAAACTAAAAAAAAAATTTGGTATTAATTGGTCTCAAGGTTGCTTCAGAATCTTTGAGACATGAAGTAAAGTAAGTCTTGGCACAACTTTTAGTTGTTTGTGTTTTTTTTTTTTAGAGAAAAGGTATGCTAACAATATGTAACTTCAAAAATAGATCAAATGATCATGACAAAAAGTTGAAACCATATATTGTCTCTGCAGCAGTTAACACTTATTCTAGGGCACAAAGACCTATTAGTTTTGGACTGGAAAGATAGTGGGAAACTTTCCAGTGTGTGTCAAAAGGGACTGAGATATAGTAAGGTTCCACGGGCACTATCTGCAGCACTGAGATTGGAGGAGTTTGTT